GTAAATATGTTTGTTTTGGAGACAGAAACAGCTTAGGAAGCTGTTTGTACACAATCTAGTTTGGGAAACTTCAATACTCTTTCCAGTCTTTACCATGTGCAAATGAGTCAGCCCTGACTATTCAAGCACATCCCTAGTACACGTCTTGACCAGGGCAGAGGCAATGGCTATGACTGTTTTCAAATGCCTTCGGCCCATTATATGGATTGATTTCAAGTGACACAGGCATTCTGCACAACATTTTCATTTCTTCTTGGAGGGCTCTCGCAGCTGTGGACTATGATGAAATCACATTTTCAGGGTGGGCCCACGCTAGACTAGAACAGGTCAGTGAGAAGGGGCAAGAGAAAAAAGTACTGGACTCCAGGAATCAATTAAAAATCAAAGCCGACCCTCGTCTTCTTTGAACCACCATCTCAGGCTTGCCTAAAGAGGGCAATATAAACCTGGAGATGGCAAGTTAGCAAGCCAGCTTCGGAATGCCTCTCACTCCTCACTCCTCGGTGTATTCTTGAAAGGCACTGGAAGGAAATATATTTGGTAATTAGGATCATTGACAACCTCATGAGAGATGGAGAGGCTTGCTGATATTTATTGCGTGTCTTTGGAGGGAGGGTAGAAAATGATAAAAACGTTAAGCATCTCAGAACAGCTTAATGGAGAAATCTGTTCAGGAGTTGAATTTAGTAATATTACGTATTAGCGACTTCCAGTCTTAATATTTCTACCTTGAGTAGAGAATTCCTAAGAATAAAACAATTTTGTGTACATTTATTTTATTTGGAAATTGAATGAAATTTCACACTTCCAACTCCCATTATTTGTATTTTACAATTCCATTTTTTATATTATATACAAAACTCCCAAATAGAAAACAGTTCACAATGGATTCCTATTTTTATTGACAAGAAGAATAAAATTATTGAGTGTTTCAACTCTACAAAGAACTGAGTGTTAGAATAACTCTTACAATTGTATTGTTAGAAATTATTTTATTTAGAAGCACTGAAACCTGCTTCCAAAATTTAGTAGAAATAAAGTTTTGAAATGGTATGTTTCCATAAAGTGAAACATAATGCATACTTGGCCTGATTTTTGGCTTTTGTAAGAGTGTGGAAGGAAAAGGAGACAAATAAGGAATTCTACTGAACAGGAATGATCGCCCTTAATGATGTGTTAATATGTCAAAACTCATTCCTTTGCAAATGCTCACATTTCTTGTACACTTTGTTTTGCGTTTGCAGTTACTGGTGGTTTTTAAACCGTTTCTTACATCTGTGCCATGCATCTATTCAGCCCCTAAAATGATGAATACACACCCAGGATGGGCACAGCAGCTGGAAGCCTTAATGAACTATAAGTTTAATGCTATTCTGAGAACCTAGAAACTCCGAAATGAATTCTTATTTCAGAAGGAGACGCTTGTTGCTTTTGAATTATGCATTCATCCTCGTATTTCTTATTTACGGTCTTCAGTAATGCTGCGGCTAAAGACGTGTCCTGATTTCAAGGATCTGATATGCAATTCAGGTGCCTGGCATGCCTCTGAGCATAAAACAGGCCTCAACTGGTTACTGGGAAGGCTGTTAACATGTTACTAAACCTGCAGCTTAGGTTGAACAAATGAGGTGTCTGCCTAATAGAATAGGTTTGGTCCAAATTCAGTATTCCTTTAATCTGCATGCTTGAAATATTTTCAGATAGGGCCACTGCTCAGATTCCCATCATTCTTTCTGGTATCTTGTTCATGCAGCTAACACACATTGCTGCCAAGGCAACCTGAGAACTCTATTTGCCCTGCCTTGGTTCTCAGGCCGGAGCAATCACTTGTTCAGGTGGCGGAGGGCTGTGAGTGCCAAGGAATGGGCCTTATGCTGCTGCTTGTATGTGGAGGAGCTTCATGGGGATTCCTGCCTCTTCATATTGGATCTGAGATAAGCTGCATTCCTAATGGCATACCCTCAGGATAGAATTCTGCGTGGTTGCTGGCCATCAGTGATACATATTATGTGCAGTGAAGCAATTATCGGAAGCATAGAAATAACATTAGCGCTGTAGGGTAATCTTGAGTGTGTAGGAGGAGAGCAGAGTGGGTATCCTAAGACCTAAGCTAGAAAGTTGGAATGTTTCCCCACATTTTGTAGGGTTTTGCATTTGCATAATGTTCCATGTAATGATGCCATCTATACAAACCTGAATTCTCGAATAAACTGGCCACTCCCTTAGGGACAGTATGAAGGGCTTTTATCTGGTTAGGCATCTCAGAAACGGACCACAAAACTACTTTTCTGTAACTTGTTGGAAAAGCATCACGAGTTTTGCCTTAGCAAAGTTAAGGACTTCTCTGAGGGCTAAGTCGCTTTGTCATAGTGAAAGGGATGCGTGAAGAGGCTGAACTTAAGCAAGCAAGCAAATCCAGTTGTGATTGTTATCATCACTTTACTTAAACTTTATTTTGTACTAGTTCACCCCTCTCCTTTCTATATGAAAGAGTTTGGTATTTTATTTCCCGGTGAGAGTTAGATGGGCTTTTATAAATTACTTTTACTCAGTAGGCATTGAGATATGCTGTGTGTGTGTGTGTGTGTGTGTGTGTGTGTGTGTGTGTGTGTGTGTACATGGCCTTGTATATATTTGTATGTCTTGTGGAGACCACGGAGGTCAACTTTGGGGGACTAGGTGCTGCCATCTATCTTGATTTTTGAGATAAGGTCTTTCATAGTCCAGGGACTCACCATGATTCTAGACTGTCTGTCTAGCAATCCCACGGGATCCACCTGTCTCCACCTTCAAAGTGCTGATATTACAAGCATGGGGTGCCACAGCTGGCTCTTGTGCGGGGTTTTGAGTGACCAAACTCAGTCCTCATGCTTACAAGGCAAAAATTGAGCCACCTCCTCCAAAATCTGTGATGTCTTTTGCATTCTATAGAACCCTAGAATTATGGAAGCCTAAGGAATTTTGAAAATAGCCTGTTGTTTTCTACATAAAAAGACAGAATCCTCGATGTAAAGAGGCAGCATAGTCCATTACTCAACATCTATCTATTCATTCATTTAGCAAAAACTAAGTTCTGACTTGCAATGTCCCCTGTGAGGCACTGTGGGGAGACAGAGATGACTACCGGGGCCCCTGAGAGTCAGTAACAAAGCAGGATGAACAGTGTTCAGCTAAGCGCATGTAAGGAAATTACTGAGGGAGCAATGCCCTGCTTGTGAGTTGTCTGTTTGGCATTTCTTTTCTTCCTGTGTCTGTGTTAGATAAGCAAAAGAAATAGCTGATAGTCTTGGTTGTGCCCAAAGGGAATTAGAACAATTGCTTCCCAGATCCACTACTATTCACCTAGGCAAGGATTCAGCTTTGTGTGTGTGTGTGTGGGGGGGGGGGGGGTTGGGAGGGACTGGGATGGTGTCTCATGTAGGCCAAACTAACCTAAAATTTGCTGTGTAGCAGAGGAAGAAGCTGAGCTTCTGAGCTTCCTGTTCTGACCCCAGCTGGAGTGCTGATTACCAGGATGCACTGCCATGCTGCCCAGTCTATGAGGTGCTGGGGGTCAATCCTGGGGCTTCCTCGGCCATAGACAGTACTCTACCAACTGAGCTACCTCCCTGGCTCTTAATCCAGCCCTTGAATCTATGGATTATTAGGATCATTAGCTAGCTATTTCTAATTTTTCAAGTAGAATACTTAGTATGCTACCATTTTTCTGCTAGAAAGTAGTCATTCACACGCCGCCATGGATTTCATCTGTAAGGATTCAGACTCATGAGTCATGGAGAGAACAGTTTACATTCACTTTTTTTTTTTTTAATCACAAAAATGCTGCAACAAAATGAATGAAAGCAGGAAGCCATCTGTGTCTCAAATGATAATGCTAAGTTTGTGTTTGTTGCAAACAATATGATTTGTTCCTGTCCACTTTCAAAGAAGGAGCCTTCACTGTGCACGTGCATACACAGACAATCCCTGCTTCCATGCATGGATCTATGCAACCTAGCCACAGATGTGCACAGCTGACATGGATGTATGCCTCAAAACTAATATAGGTGGCCTCCAAACATAGTCACTATTTGAACCTTTCCATGTTATTTGTAAGGGGCTCTGAGTCCTTATTACCTCTGGCTCTTGGGTCGGGGCCATCGGCTCCTCCTCTCGGCAGCCTGGAATCCACCATCTACTCCATGGTGTATGCAGTGCCACTAGGATTTTTTTCTTCCCAAGCATGACTTAAGTCAGACTGTCCCACTCAAAATTTTAATTCCCAGAGCTGCACATCTCCTACCAACACACAGTCCCCTAAACTCCACAGCAGACCAGCAGCATAGTTTCTAACCTTCTCTCCCCAAAGAGGTAACAAAGTCCCCTCCTCTCCAGCCAAGACAATCCATGTCACCTCCCTTTCCTCTTACAGTTGCCCCTATTCTAGATACCCAGGCCAAATCTCCCCACCTCCTCAGGCCTGGGGACAGAGCCAGTTACCCATCTGTGGCAGAGACAGGTATTTTGCATGGTATCTCTCCCATCCATGAGTAAATTCAATAGTTTGTGAATCTCTTTTCCTCCCTTAATGAGTTTTAGCTTCAGGCCAGTGACTAGGTGATTTGAGAGAGGCCTTAAAAGCCCTAAAGAAATATGCCAGTTTGGTTTGAGCCCAGAGAGCATGAGATGACCAGCAAGCGGAGTGATTTCTTTCACCTACAAGTCAGGATGTGCGTCTGCCTCTCTCCATTTCAGCTTCAGCTCTTATAGATGCCAGGAAGGAGGGAGCTGAGGGCAGACGCAAAACCTAGTTATCATTCTAATTAACTTAGGTCTTCTCTATAAACTTAAATTTCTGGAGTACGGAACCTGTGTAAGACACTTCCAATTTCAAACGGAGGAAAAAAAAATACTGCAATCCCTAAGCCAATAGCGAACTCACCGGAAGGTCAAAAAGAAAAAAAAAAAAAAAAAAAAACCAAACCCTCCCTCCACTCTCGCCACGGGTGCCTGTGAAGGGAGAGGAGGGGACCCAGAGGCCCAGCAATAATCCAAGTGTAAATCCAAAGGGCTAGGGCGATTGGCAGCTGTCTCGGTCGCGGTTCCCAGAGCCAGCATCTAGAGGGCTGCTCAACCTAGGTGTCCTAAAGAACTGCGGCGCCCCCCTCCCCCGCGCGCGCGGCGAGGGAAGTCGGGACGAGGTTGGCCCTCGTCGCTCGGTGTCTGGGCGTGGGCCCCGCCGCAGCTCCGCGGAGCCTCCGTGTCTCCTGCAAAGGGGGGCGGGGGAGCCCAGAGCTGCGGCTTCCTCCCGCGCGGAGTCTCCTGCGCACCGCCGAGCAGGACGCCAGTGCCAGCCGGGTCCCCACGCCGCTGCGCTCCCGGCCTCCCCGCCGCCCACAGGTAACTTTTCTGCCCTTAGTGGCCGAGGGGCTCCGAGGGGGGCTCATTTCCGAGACGCGCGGGGCTCGGGGTCCCGGTGCGCTGCACCCACGGCGCTCGGCCTCCGGCCTGGGGGCCTCCCTCCGAGCCCTGGCCCCTAGGGGCGACCGGGCCCCGCTCCCCTCTCCGGCCATCAGCGCCGATTTCAGGGTCGGGGCGCCATGTTCTGAGCGTGCAGGGCTCGGGGCGACACTGCGGCGCCAGGCCGGGGGCTGTGCGCGGGAGGGGCCGTGCGCCCCGAGGCTGCGGCTTGTCGTTGCGTTCGTGCGGGGTGCGGGCGCGGCGGGGCTCGGAGCATCCCGGGCTCTGCAGCTGGGGCCGGCCGCTTTTACGTAACTTGCCTCCTTTCCCCGGAGTGGGCAGCGTCCCCAGGCCGGCAGCGGGCCAGCCAGGTTGCTCCTCCGGGCCTGGGCACCTGCGGGCCGCGCGCCCCTCCTGGGACGGTTCCCTGCGCCCGGCGGCAACGCGCCCCGGCCTGCAAGACCGCTGCACCCGGGCGGGCGCGGCTCACCTGGTGCCCTCGGGGCTGCGTGCCCGAGGAGAGGAGGGGGGGCAGGGAGGCTGGGGGCCGCTAGAGTGGGGTCCTTGCTAGGCTGGTGCGCCTTGGCTCCTGCACCAGAGGGGCTTGCTTTCTCGGGTTCCCCTCTAATCGCACCCTACTTCTGCCCCTCCTCCCCCCCCTCTTCCCCCTGCACCCGGCGCCAAGTTCACAGCTTCTGCAATGCGGTGGGTGTGGTTACCTCGCAGATTGTAAGTGTGGTCCTTGCGGTGGGAGCATTCTTGCCCTTTCTCTTTTTAGATTTACTGAAGTTTTCTGGGTGGGGTGTGTAGGGGGATTTACCCTTTCATCTTTGCAGACCAGGGTTCAAGTTGAGAAGAGTCCTGCAGAACAAATCGAATGATAAAGGGAACATGTGGTATTAATTAAGCATGGAGGAGGCTGGGCTGTCCTGAGAGGGCCAGGCAGTCCTGCTAATAACGCAACGCTTCCATTACGCGTTTAAGTTGGTGTTTCAGCTTTTTTACATTACTTTTTGTGGTATTGCTTTTGCAGACGTCCTTGGCTGTGGTTTTCGGGGGGCCCATTTTGGGGGCGGGTCTGTGGGGCGGTCGGATGTTCTGGGGTTACTCTTGGTAGCATAACTACCCAAGTAAAGGAGTCATCGTATCCAGTGCTAAAAGGAAATTTCTTTTTACATCTTACACTGCATTTTAAAGCCTCCATGAAGAAGTGATGAAACTCCACCTCTATCTGGAAGCCATGAATGCAGCACCCGTACAGGAAAGTGGGGCATCAAACTTGAGAGAGCCCCGGGGAAGAAGTGATTTGATGATCTGCGTCTTGACTCAGCAACGCTGGCTTACTGTTGTCTTTTAATGGCATGCGTATGGAGGCATCAACTTCTCAAAACTTTAATTGCAGTAACAAAGTTATTGTGAGAGGAAATAAATTCTGCATTGAGGAGGCATGCCTTTCATTTGTTAATCTCCGAAAGCACTGGCGAAATAAGCTGAATGCTGAAGTACTGAATTATTTACATTATGATTTTTCCGATGGTTTAGAAAAGCTTAGGTAATTAGAAGAAGCACAAGCCACTGCATGAACGGGGCTCGCACACAGCAAGTTCTTGCAAAACAGAGCATGTGTTCTAAGGGGTTTATCAGAAACCAGAAGAGTAGCCACTGTCATTTGTAAACCCCTTTAGGCCAGGGATTGTGGAGCTGAAGGTCAAAGGTCAGTGTCCCAATGACATTTACATTTAATTTTTAAAGAGTTTTTTTTTTTTTTTTAATGTGTGAGCATGGTTTGGTTAGAAGGTACATTTGCCAGTTCTTGTTGGGTGTTTGGACCAAGGCCAACTTTGATTTGTGCAGAAATACACGATGAGGGTTTTGGGGTTTTTTGTTTGTTTGTTTTTTATTTTTTTTCTGGATCAGGTGTGATTTTATATATGTACATATTGCTGTTTAAAAAATATCCAATGGCAGAGCACAGCAGGGATGCCCTGAAGTAGAAGAGAGGTGGCCACCTGTGTCCTGGGAGAGACATAGCTGCTATCGTTTTCTGTGTTGATGTGAGCATGGAGGGATTAACGTAGCGGTGTTTTCTTGTAGGATATGCATTCATCTTTCTAAGTTAGTGCTCTAAAAGTTCTACAGTTGATACTTGAGAATCTATGCCTTACCTGCCAGTGAAAATGGACTCCAAGAGTAGCCTGGGAGATGTTTTCTTTGGGCGAGAATTCAACTATAAAGAAGAGAAGTTTCTTAAGTAGAATACCCCCTGGTCCTCTTCAATTCTATTTTCATTTTCCTCTTTGAATGTCAGCTTTATTATGGAAGGTGGATGCCCCACTGAAACCCAGGAAGCAAGTTTGTCTCCAGGTCCTCAACAGTGCAATCGCTTTCAGAAGGCTTGCTGGTTGCTAATCTGTTGGAAATCCAGCAGACACTCAGGGCCCTGGGAGGGCTCGGCTGGCTGCATCTCATTTGTCCTGGCTCTAAAGGATCATGTCCTCAGAAGCAGGGACTGGGGCAGTGAAGTCATTGCTCTGGCAGGGGCTGTGACATCACTATAGCTCAGAGGAAGGAAGGGTGGGGCAGGCAGAACCATCTTGCTGCCTTTTACTTTGCCTGGTGAATGAATGAGACTCTCACATTGAACCACACGACAAGGTACTGTGTGGATGTAGGAAGACGTGTGTCTCGAGGAGCAGAGATTTTGGGTGAAGTAGTTAAAGCCATTGAATATTCCTGTTCCATAAGAAAATGCTGTGATTTTTTTAAAGGGTCATTTAACAATTAAAGAACCAGCGAATCAGTATTTTAATTTATTAAGTCAATAGTTCATCCTATTTATATTAATAACGTTCTACTTAAATTTTTGGGTAAGATTATTAGGGGTTGTCTTTAAAAGTATATAGTGTCTCTTACTCTCTCTGTAGAGAATGTTGTTATGTATTTTTACATGATGCACTTGCTGTTGGCAGCTGGGGAAAAAATAGAAAAGCTAGATATTTCACAGTCATAGGAGATATTTGTCATGATTTGGGGGTAATTAGTTTCCATGATAACTTTGCTTTATCTGCTAATATTATTTCATAATTTGACATTTTAATCCTTGTAGCATTCTAGTGTGGAGACACGTTTCATCCAAATTAGTATCTGATAAGCGGTAAGAGGACACACAGGTTCGGCGCCTCTAAGTACATTTGTTATTATTTGATTATGAATTTAATGTGATCTCAGCAGGAAGAGGGAAGCGCCTCTTCACATGAGCCGCAGATGTCTTTTGTATAGGTCTTTGCAAAGATGACTGCCATGTTTTCACCTTGATGTGTTCAGGCTGTAGGAAGTCGGGGTGGTTCTTACGAGGTGGTAAAGCTATTCCAGGACACGCTTCTGAAGCGAAGGAGAAGACAAGACAGGAGAGCAGTGGAGGTAGAGGGGTCTAAATTAGGTGTTGGGACTGCAGATCGCTGGTGAAATGTCTTTGGTGCTGTGGTTTTAGACCTTGCAATGATTGGTTAAATTGCACACTGTAGGACTGGAAGCTTCTATTAGCTCCAAACCCCTAATTCTTTTGTAATTTGCAGTACGGAAGAAAGGCTGACAACTTAATTTTTAGATTGCTGACATTTTGATACATTGTTCTTACAGACTTTCTTACAAACCACACATGTGCATTCACATAAACATGCTCACACACACACACACACACACACACACACACACACACACACACACACACACACACACGGAGGTAGCCTTGTGTTAGGCCTAGAAAACAAATGCATTGTTAACGTTTTGCCTGTGTTTTTTGCTTTCTCTCCAATCATCCTGGGTTGAGCGCATGGTATAGCTAATGACTTATACTCTTTCTTCTTTATCCCTGAACCTAACAGTTGTCACCCCTAAAACCTTTAGTAAGTATTCATGGAACTGGGTAAGAAATAAGGCCGTTTTGACATATTACATTAAAAAGAGATGCTCGAGAAGCACCACCACTGTATGCAGAACTCTGAAGCACCAGGTCTTTTGTACAGCTGTTCTTTTTAATAGAAAGATCCTCTTCGCATCCACCTTGCCCGCCATCTGTAGCTCCAACTGTGGAGGTTCCCACAGGTTTGCTGCATCGGAGAAGAGCATGCTGCAAGGTACTGAGGGAAGAGGAGAATGGTGTCTTTGTGGGGAGGACTGCGGGCATTCTGCTTCCTCTTCCACCAACTCTAATTGGTGCCCGGGAGAACCGCTGTAGGGGGATGCTCACTCAGAAGAGAGGAAACAGTTGGGAGAGGGGCAAGGCTGAAGTGGGTCACTGCTGGGAGATGGTGTTGCTCCTGCTGGTGACACAAAAAGGGAAAACCTCTTTATATATACATATATGTATATATATATGTATATATATATATAAAACTAATGTGTACATGCAAAACACACATACACATTGGTGTATATGTACCATGTGTGTATATATTATGTATATGTATATATACACACAAGATATACAGATATATTATTTGTATACATATATGCATGGTTTATATTCTCAAGTAGGGCGGTTCTCTAATTCAAGCCCCAAATTTCATCATTTTTCAAGCCAGTTTCCCCACATTTAAAGTGTCAAACGTTGGGTTATGTTTTACAATGTCAGTTGTATGGCAGAGATCTTGCTAACACTCTCATTCATAGATTAGGACTGCCTATTAAAAATTGGCAATTGGGTACCAGCTGCTTTATGAAAATTCTGGAGAATGCATCCCGTGCTCCTGGTGACATACGGGAGGTATATACCATGTTGGAAAAGCATAAGCCGTGATGACTGAGTGGACATGAGATGTAGAATCTGTGTGTGTATGTGTGTGGTGATTTTATAAACAGTTAGATGATTCTGTTTTGCTTATATTTTCTTTATGCATTCAATACAAAGCCCCAAAGATCTTTAAACCAGTGGGAAATTA